TGGGCTCTTGCAGAGGTCGTGTAGAGGAAGTAACCCTTGGCAGTAGAGTCTCGGGGTTATTCTTGCTATTTAGATGGCTGAATACTTTCCGGACAACCGTTTAGTGCGTACTACTCATAGGGGCCCTGAGGTGGACGTAGGGACCATAACTTTGGCCGCATCATGTTTATTAACCCCCTGGCTTTCTACGGAGAATATTTGCATCCCCATTTTCACTCGTAGCGTGTGCGTCTCACGTAGATATGTTTTAACTGGGTGGCTTTCACAAAATGTTAGTCTCTTGTGCCGGGTTAATAAAATATTACCTCTTGAAACACTTGGGAACGGAAACCATCTGGCGGTTAATGTTTGGCACCTCCATGGTTACAATTTCGTCCAGCTATATTTCAGGAGCTCATAAAGATAAGAAATAGCTTCTGCGAGGCATGACATTCCTTTTACAGAGAAGACCTCCTACACCAAAAGAAGAGGAGGTAAAATTTGAGTTGGTCGTTCACCTTAGATATTCTTTTTCCCAGAATTCTGCCTTATGGGACTGATGGTATTAGTTTACGAATGAAGGAGAAGGTTAGCGATCCGGTTATTTGCATGGACGAGGAAGACGACGTATCGAGCACCAGATCAGTTGATTTATTGTTCTGAGCTTTCGAACTCTTACAGGAGTCCATCTTCAGAGGTGAGAAGTAGCCACCGAAAAGGGGGTAATTGTAGCGGCCACAGCTAATTACCCTCCACCCCCACCCCTTTTTGATTGCTGTTTCTAACGCCCTGACAACCTGATGATTTCTGACGTTTTATTGGCCTATGGCCACTATAATTACCCCCTTTTTGGTGGCTACTTCTCATATCTGAAGATGGACTCCTGTAAGACTTCAAAAGCTCAGAACAATAAATCAATTGATATGGTGCTCGATACGTCTTCTTCCTCGTCCAGGTATTAGTTTAGTTTATTACTTTTTACCTGTTGAATCTTGGTTTTAGTTTAATTAACTTTGTTTACTATATAGTAGTTATTTAGGTATATTTATATAACGTTGGCGGTATCTAACTGAACTAGAAATTGAACTACTTGAAAACTTAAATTAAACTAATAAACTAAACTAATTGAAACATTCTTTTCCCAGAAGGAATTTGAACAAAGCTCAATTCGTGATCTTCGCTTTGTTCAAACTAAACTAACACTAAAAGTAACCACCAGACTAGGGAGTAGGGGTACCTAGGGTAGGCGACCTTCTTAACTTTTACCGAAAGAGAAAAATTAGCAGATGCGATCACTGAAATGTGTTATTTCTTTGCTTGATGTTTCGGTATCTCTCGAACCCACCGTCATAGACAGTTGCAACTCTCGAGAGGGAACAAAACGTCAGTTATGTCTTCATTTCAGAGTCCTGCGGTTTCATGCAAAATGATTTTGGGAAGTTTATTGTATTACGCATCCTTCTCTCGAAATGTAGCCGAATGTTCACGAGCCAAGAGAATTGACAGGAATGATTTACACCGCTAGAAGATGACATTCATGGAAATCTTCCAAGGTGGCTGAAAGCATTCTCTTTCAGACGGCATCACTCGCCCCACTATTGTTATTTCATTTACGAATAAAGGTATTGGAAGTTAAGTTGCTAATAACCTACTACGAATTACTGTCAAATTCCTGCTGGGATAAGTTATAATCGGGCAACGTTACCGCTCACACTGCGTTCAGGAAAAGTCCGACATCTTTCCGAATGACTTCGCTTACTTGGCTTACTCTTTTCAGCCCTTCTATTAAGAATGTCCTTCATCTTGTATATTCCTGCTCTCTACCCCTTTATCCCTTTTCGGTATCTTAATTAGGGAGCAGTGTTTCCTCCCCTCCAAATGTCTTCGCTTCTTGTTAGGATGTCCAGAACTAGTTACCCTCCTTTATTTTTTCTGGCCGTAACATGAACCCACTAGGCTCACAAGTCCTCCAAACAGCTTTAGGGCCATTTCTGAAGGAGTCCCGCATTACCTTTGTCAGGGGTTTCAATGGATTTCACTCAAGGATTGCTCACTCAAGGCCTTAACTAGCTTCTTTTTACCCTCCCTCTTCCCAGGCGAAGCATAATCCCCAGAGCACTCCTTTGTGGACCCTTTTGTCTCGCCTTGAAGAAACTGCCGGAAATCTGACGAAGGCTCGTTCTATTCTTGAGAAGGGGCGTTCGAAGAACCCTACAGATGCCAACTTATGGTGAGAATTTTTGTCTGCCTAAATCGTCGGCCTGTCTTTCCACCTTTGTTTCTGCAGACCTTTTCAGTTTTATCAAGCGAGAGAGAGACGGAGCGAGTAACCCTAAGACCTTACGCAACTATCTTTAGGTTGGAATCCATCAGACTGGAGATGCGAGCAAATCTAAAACCGGTGGCGGAATCCCTACTGTCCAAAGCTCTCCAACAGTGTCCCAACGCCGGTTGCCTTTGGGCTGAGGCCATCTTCATGGCCCCGAGGCCACAACGCAAAATAAAGTCGGTGGACGCCTTGAAGAAGTGTGAACACGACCCCATCGTCCTCTTGGCTGTCGCAAAGTAGGCTTTTTTCGTCCCCAAATTATCAATCTAATTTATGCTGCTTTACACAACCCGCGTTCTTCCCTTATTATTTCTCTTTCTTCCGCTCTCCAGGATGTTTTGGGCTGAGAGACTTACCTCCAAGGCTCGCAGTTGGTTCACACGGACGGTCAAGTTGGAATCAGGCTTGGGAGATGCGTGGGCCTACCTCTATAAATTTGAGCTCAGCCACGGCACTGAGGCAAGTCTCCTGAGCAGAATGGTTGTCTGTTTACTCTTGCTCGTCTTGCTTTCGGCGTTCCGCCAGACTCTCGTCTAGGGTTTTGTGCCTAAGGGATTCGTAGCGGGGGCTGGGCAGTGTTAGTTGGTTTCGACACTTTCGGACTGCGCCCACAGCGCGAAGGGCCGTTGGAGTCACACAGGGTTTTGATGGCCTAGATCTGTGCCAGTTACTGCTGCGAAGGCCTCCCTATCGTCATCTGAGGCCC